TTCAATTTCAAAAACATGTTGAAACTATGCTAAATACCAAAATTCGCTCCGTCCAATCAGATTGGGGGGGTGAATACCATCGGTTACACAATTATTTCAAATCCACAGGCATTGAACATCATATCTCCTGTCCTCACACACACCAGCAGAATGGGTTAGTCGAAAGAAAACACAGACACATTGTAGAAACTGGCCTTGCTTTACTCGCTCAAGCCAACATGCCTCTATCCTACTGGGATGAAGCTTTCAACACAGCTTGCTTTCTTATAAATAGAATGCCCAGCCGAACCATACAACAAGACACACCACTTCATAAATTGTTTGGTAAAAGTCCAGACTACTCCATGCTTAGGGTGTTTGGCTGTGCTTGCTGGCCTAATTTAAGGCCTTACAACAACAAGAAACTGAGTTTCAGAACTACTAGATGTATATTCTTGGGTTATAGTTCTTCTCATAAGGGATATAAATGCTTAAATAGAAGTACAGGACGTATTTACATCTCTAGAGACGTGGTTTTCGATGAAAATGTTTTTCCTTTTGAAGAATCTAAGCCACCAAACAAAACCACAAATCCACATCATCCTGTTCTACTTCCAGCCTTAGCCAAACTTGCTAGTTTTTACACTGAAAATGCTCTTACAGATATTGAACCAGTTGTTAGTAATTCCCATATGAATGATGGTCAAACTGATAATATTGCTAGTGACAACTTGTCTGGTGTCAGCTTATCTTCTGCAGATAATACAAGAAGTTCAGAGGAAATTGCAGAATATGAAGCTGAGAGCAGTTCGATCAATGCTCAAAACCAAACTCATGAACATGTGTCTGATCAACCAACTGAAGCAGCTAGTCAACATCCAATGCGAACAAGGTTGAGAAATAACATTGTACAAGCTAAACAATTCACTGATGGAACTATCAGATATTCAGAAACCTCAAGAAAATTCGCAAGCGCTGTAACTATCACAACTCCGATCATAGAGACTGCTACTGAACCTCGAAACCTGCAGGAAGCCATGCAACATCCAAGATGGAGAGGAGCAATGAATGATGAGCTCTCAGCGCTAAAACGAAATGCCACTTGGGATCTAGTTCCACCCAAACCTGGAATAAATCTCATTGATAGTAAATGGGTGTATAAAGTGAAAAGAAAAGCAGATGGGTCAGTTGAAAGATTAAAAGCAAGATTAGTTGCCAAAGGATTCAAGCAAAGATTTGGTGTTGATTACACTGATACTTTTAGCCCTGTGATCAAACCGTCAACAATCAGGGTCATTCTTTCGCTAGCAGTAACCAAGGGCTGGAATATGAGACAAGTTGATATCCAAAATGCATTTTTGCATGGAATTCTGAAAGAGGAAGTGTACATGCGACAACCACCAGGATTTCAAGACTCAGCCAAACCAAAGAATTACATATGCAAGCTCAAGAAAGCCCTTTATGGCCTGAAACAAGCCCCAAAAGCTTGGCATTCAAGGTTGACTGGAAAACTTATTGAGTTAGGCTTCAAGGCTTCAGTAGCTGATTCATCTCTTTTTATTCTCAAAAACAGAGAGATAACTATCTATATGCTCATCTATGTTGATGATATAATTATTGTGAGCTCCTCTGATCAAGCAACCGAAAGGTTGATTCAGAAATTGAAAATAGATTTTGCAGTAAAAGATTTGGGTGATCTTGAGTATTTTCTGGGTATTGAAGTCAAGAAAACACGAGATGGTATCATACTGTCACAGAGACGATATGCCTTAGATTTGTTGAAAAGAGTAAACATGGAAAAATGCAAACCTATGTCTACACCAATGGGTTCTGCTGAAAAATTATTCAGAGAACAAGGAATACCCTTATCAGCTGAAGAACAATTCAAATACAGAAGTACAGTGGGAGCACTACAATATTTGACAATGACTAGGCCTGATTTGGCATTTGCTGTCAATAAAGTGTGTCAATATCTTCATACACCTACTGATGCTCATTGGGGTGCTGTGAAGAGAATTCTTCGTTATGTTAAAGGCACACTAGCATTAGGAGTGAAAATTCAGAAATCAACCATGATGTTGTCGGGGTTTTCTGATGCTGATTGGGCTGGTTGTCCCGATGATCGACGTTCAACTAGCGGCTTTGCTGTATTTCTTGGAGCAAATCTAATCTCATGGAGTTCCAGAAAACAGGCTACAGTGTCAAGATCAAGCACCGAAGCAGAATACAAGGCCATTGCGAATCTTACTGCAGAAATGATTTGGATCAAGTCATTACTGAAGGAACTGGGCGTGTATCAATCAAAGGCTCCTCGCCTCTGGTGTGACAACCTCGGAGCTACATATTTAACTTCAAATCCAGTATTTCATGCTAGAACGAAACATATTGAAGTTGATTTTCATTTTGTTCGAGAACAAGTAGCACGTAAAGCAATGGAAGTTCGGTTCATTTCATCAAGTGATCAAGTAGCTGATATCCTGACAAAACCACTGTCTAAAACTCCTTTTACTACACATTGTAACAATCTCAACATGTACAAGACTTGTTGGGATTGAAGGGGACTGTTAGAATTGGTCAATCCATTAGAATAGCTTGAAGTTAGTCATGCCATAAGAATAGGCTTACTTCGTTAGTTTCCTATGAAATCGGATCTATTAGTTAATCTTTTGCCAATATAAATAGAATATGTCCTCAATAGTGTGAGGTACAGTTTTGCATAAACTTGATAGTCCGTATGTGTACACTCCCTCTAATCTTTGTAGCAGAAACTTTTCGTCATGGAACGCCAAAATAAAGGGAAATAGTACCGCCAAAGCGCCGCCCAGGCTGTGCCCAGTTACCACGAACTTGGCCTTCTCATTTTCTTTGAGAAGTTTAGTCAGCCTTTTTCTGAGGGTGTAATAAGCCAAAGGCTTGTTTTTATCTTTTCGGTTTACTTCCTTGGGCCATCCAACGGATTTTTGTAAGCCCAGTGCTTTCATAAACCCGGCATGGACTTTTCCAAACCCTTCCAGCTCGTACCAAGACAATTCCACGTCGGTGATCCAGTCGTAAGCACTGAAGGGCGATGTGCCTCTAAATGACACCACGATGGTGTCACAAACAGAATTCTTATCCCGCAACATGAATGCTTGTGTTGCGCTTTTCTTTATATATTCTAGTAAATACAAATTCAAAACACATCATTTATTATTTATTTATTTATTTATGCACATACAATAATACATGCACGAGTAGCAAACTGGAAAATCAATATGGTGTTACCATTCCAAAAGTTGAAAAATCCCAAGAATTCCATCTGCATAATAACAAAGAAAATATTTGAGGAATTAAAGTGACTTTCCTTTTTTGTTTTCCTAAAAAATCTCATAACAATAAATATATTATTTACTGATCAACTTAATTGAGTTGAAATTACTAAAAACGTGAGTTTGTGTACCTTCCAAACATCCTTGACGATCTTTGTAACGCGAGCTTCATTCTCATAGACTAGTTTAGAAGCCATCATGCAGAGAGCAGCGTTGTAGTTGGCATCCCCAGGCTTTATACTTTGGTCCAACGTTATTCTTTCATCCATATAACCAACTATTGACTGGTAATCCGCCGATGAGCTGTCCGGTAGTTTCAACTTCACTGCATAAAACAACACACACATATATATATTTGAATGTTATTTCCTCTTCCTTAAGTTTATAATAAAACAGAATGTTAATTAAGTAAATGGGAGGGAAGTGGGGGTGACATCGGAAGATATTGAGGAGGCCAAAAACGCCGCCGTTGGCAGACAAAAAGTTGAGGCTGAACTCAACGACGAAGCCAAGCAAGGCGAGTGGGGCGGCAAACAATTGGAGGAGCTTGAGGACGATGATGGTGATGATGATGAGAATTCTGTGGGCGAAATTGAACTCGGTTGGGTGGCTTGATTCTACAAATTTTCTTTCATGGAGCTTGGGGGAGAACAAGAATTTTAACAAGTCGAAGACGTTAAGGTCTTCGGGCTTGAAAAGCATGAAGCTTTTGGAGAAGGCCTTGTTGCAGATATCATCAATAACAGCTGCCATGGCTGGAAATCAAGATGTAGCGAAGGATGCCTTGGATGAGGGGACTTCATGTTCTAAACCTATTATAAATAATACCATCTATGTCTGTACTGTGTTAGTATTAAATGAGTGTTTAGCCTTGCACCCTCCTGTGTTTTTAGAATGGCACGACACCTTCAATTATTGAATTATTAATTTAATTATTTTCATAACCAATATTAATTTAAAATTGTAAATTGAATTTATCACGTCATCGGTTGTATTTATTGCGTACATTTATTCATGCACTAAATAGACTCGTACCATTTATTTGTGAAATTATTTTGTTGAATACATATTTGAATTAAAATGAAAGGTAAATAAATTTCAATTTGAAAAATATATAATTTTATAAAACAGACTTTTGTTTTTAAAAATTCCACATTTTCTGTTGCTTTAATTTTGTTTCTCTAACATATTTGTCTCAAAAAGAAAAATAAAATAAAATCTCTTTCTACATTTTTCTTCCTAATATTTTCATATTACTTAGTACTTTGTTTGGTTTAATATTTTATGATAAATTTTAAAATCTTATATAGTTTTAAAGCATTAAAAATAATTAAATGTAATTATTTAAAAATTGAATACTCCTACTAAATTATGCAATTGAAAATTTGATATAAGTTTATTGATGACTATAATTATTTACCAAATGAATACTCCTCCTAAAATTATTAACTACAATTATATTAAACTTGACGGGGCATAATCAATTTACTTGTGGCTAATTAATTCCTTTATTTTTTATTTTTCAATCTAAACTCTTAGAAAATAATTTTGTTTAAGATTAAACTAAAATGAAGTGGTTGGAAATCTAATCAGAGTAGATTAGATTTAGATAATTATGGTTTTGAAATTTTGAATTGAGAAATTATTATTTTAAATTCCAAATTTATTAGTTTTAGAACTTATTTTCTCCCTACGTTTATACTTAAAAGCACATGGTAAAGAGTGTGAAGTTTCAAAACATAGATTGGTACCAAGTTTGTGAGTTGTAATACTCACAGATGAACAAGTTACTGAATTTTGACATCATACTCGTTCAGAAAACGATCTGCGGAGCCCAAGCGAGTTGAATTAACATAATCTTGAGGACAATGAGCAGGAACTCCAGGCAATAGTAATCCAAACAGCCTCACAATTCTTAAAAGAACTCTTTCCTCGTACTCCTTTCCCCTTCTCCACCCAATTGTGAAGCTTCTTCCTATCTCAAAACATGCATGTATTCTCATCAGCACCGCTCCTACTATCGAGAAATAGTTCTTGAATGGCTCTTCTTCCAGAATCTGCCAACCCCACCAACAAATAAAGAACGTTTCTCTTCAATCTATCTATAAATAAATGTAAGGTAAGTAATTATATTACCTGCGCAACATAGTTCCAGTCGAAATAAATACAGCGTCCGAAGTGTTTGAACATCAAGGCCTTGTCGTCCAGGGGCAGCCGAGGGACCATGTCGAACCCATAAACAAATCTGTAGTACCGAATCTTGTATTGCGACAGTGATTTCATCATGAATTCTCCGAATTCCCCGTCTCCCACCCGAGGTTGTCCGAATGTGTACACTCCTTCTAATCTTTCCAGCAGTAACTTTTCCTCGTGGAACACCAAAATAAAAGGAAACAGGATGGCCAGAGCACCGCCCAAGCTATGTCCAGTCACTACAAACCTCGTTCGCTCATTTTCTTTCAGAACTTCCCTTAGCTTCTCTCTGATGGTGTAGTAAGATAAAGGACGTCTTTGCTGTTGTGGGTCTATTTCCTTGGGCCATCCAATGGATTTCTGTAACCCAAGCGCTTTCATAAATCCGCCGTGGATTTTACCGATCCCCTGAATCTCGTACCAAGAGATGTCAAAGTCGGAGCTCCAGTCGTCTGCATTGAAGGGCTCTGTGCCTCTGAAGGACACGATGATGGTGTCGTGATCAGCATTTTTATCCCGCATCATGAACGCTTGTGTTGAGAATTTTTCTTGATAGCCTACCACAAAAGTTAAAAAATTCAGTTGACAGACAAGAGTGGAACAGGGATATCGTTCTTATTTTCTTACCATTCCAAAAGTTGAAAAACCCCAACAGCTCCATCTACGAATTTTCAAAAAAGAAAAAAAATCAGGCAATGGTAGACAAAACAAAGAAATCACGCATTCAATACGAAATCTGCACCTTCCAGACATGATTGACAGTTTGTGTAACGCAAGCTTCATTCTCGTAGGCCAGCTTAGAAGCCATCATGCAGAGAGCTCCAAAGTAGTTGACATCACCTGCCTTTATTTTTTCGTCCAATCTTACTCTGCTATCCAAGTGACCAATGATTGACAAGTACTCCGCCGATGAGCTGTCCGGTATTATCAACTTGACTGCATCCAAATTCCAAATTAAAAGTTAAGCCCATAAGTTTTGAAGTCTAGACCATTAAATTCAAAATAATGGACAATATTAAAATATGGCATCCATGATTGGGGAAGAGAAACAGATGTCTGTGAACAGAGTCAACTCGACTCTAGGGGGACATTGACACGTCATATTAGGTAGAATGGCTCTGAAAGTGATTTTAAAACTCCGACAAATGGGTATGAGCTCACGTGATGTTGTAATGAGCAATATTCAAATTAATTTCGTATTGTAAATTTGTGCAAGGTTTGGGTATGTCCGTGAAGGAAAAAGAAGATCTCGAAGGGACTTACATCGTAAGATGTTGAGGAGAATGCCGGAAAAGCCGCCGTTTGCGGAGATAAAGTTGAGCCAGGACTCGAGGAAGAAGCCCAGCAAGGCGAGTGGTTTGGCAAAGAATCGGAGGAGCTTGAGGACGACGATAGAGAGAAAGATGAAGAATCTGTGCCAGAAGTTGTGCTCTCTGGCGGAAGTGGAATCCACGAATTTTCTCTTCTTGAGGTTGCTGGAAAACAAAAGGCGTAACAGATCAAAGAACTTCACCTCTTCCGGCTTCAGAAGCATATAACTGTTGGAGAAGCCGCTGTTGCAGCTACAAGCACTAGCAGCCATGGCTCAGGGGAACCTCTCTTCTCACGATTCTCTGGCTTCTGCTTTTCTCTGAACTTGGATACCCTGCTTGCTCAATCATATATACATAAACACTGTGTTGCTCACTCAAACTGTGGCCCACAATAAAATATAGAATCATGTGTAAAATGCTTTGGATTATTAATTATTATGGCCAACCTTCCGGCCTCTACTTCCCGCAGTTAACTACAAATTTCTATATTTATTCAAAACTATTTATACCTTATTTTCTTATTACCTATTTTAGAAACTTTTCAGACTATTCAAACTATTTTTTTTTTTTTAAGAATCTATCTCTTTTAAGTAAGTGTTTCTCTACAAATAAAACTTAAATTAGTCACTTTTTTAATATAGATTTTAAATGAATCAACTTTTCAAGTGTTTCTTTAAAAATAGATTTTTAATTAATTTATTATCTTTTTAAAAGATATTTTATTTTTGGTAGGTACGCAAATCTCGACCCTACCATTTCGTGGCAGCTGGATAGCATGTTCGTGATTTTTTAATATGTTAGACAATGAAGGGAAGATTTGATTAACAATACATTAAAAAAAAAGAAACTGAGGCCATGTTTTCATTTTTTTTTTAATTTGACAAATAATTCAAAAAAATATAAAAAATCATAGTTTAACCAAAAAATCACGAACAAATCCGGGCCTTCAAGTTGAAGCATATAACATGAAGCAACACAAATTTTTGTAATTCATGAGTAAACACCAAGCGAAACCTACTTAGGAAAGCATTGGCATTAAAATTACAAGCAAAGAAGGAAGCTTCACCCATTTATTTCCACTTGATGTTGTAAATTAATACCAATACATAAAGCTAGGAGGCGCTCTTCTTCCATGGCGTCGAAGCGCTTCCACGGCTCGGGCATCTTGTGATTGCCGGGCTTGCAAGATCCGGGCTTGGAGGAGGAGGAGTCATGTGCGTGGGGGCCCAACGAAGAGTTCGAGTGGGATCCCACTGGGCTCAGCACTGGGCTCGAGTGAAACGAGTTCGTAGTCTTTTCCCCGTGATGGGCCCTGCACATACTACTCTGGCTGGCGAGAGCTGGGCGACGACGCCGTCAGACTGCTCACCTCCGAGTCGGTCTTCGCCAGCACCACCCGACATATAAACTAAAATTAGCTACAGCCAAGTGGCTCCGCTCAATATTGGTTGAGTGATTTAATTTTGAATGATTTGAATTTCTGTAGATTACGGAGCATCCTCCCTCATTAATGGGGTTTATTTTTTTATCTAGAAAAATCATTCCATAAATAAAGTATTTTTATCTTAAAAAACCACGGCGGTAAACACAAGATACTGTCCCTCAATCTCTTTTTCTTTTCCTTCAAAATTGGAGCCCTAATGTTTTCCAGTTTCAGTTTAGCATTCCCTCTCTCTCGATTCCCCTTCTCCCTCCATCCAGAGTGAGCGTCAGCCCTCTTAAGTCCTCCACCTGGCGCCGGCGACCAATCGACCAATTGCCACCTGTTCGCGCCCACTTACCCGCTCATTCTCCCTTTCGATCGATCGATTTTGCGGCTCGCGGAGACAAGGCTCTCGCCTCCCATCCCTTATATCCTTTCTCTTCCTTGGTAAGATTGAGTTTCTACCACATTCTCTTCCTTTTCGGTTTATTTTATTTGTGCCCTCCCAATGCTCGCCTCCCCGCCACCCCCCCTTCTGGGCTTCCTGTCTCTGCCGCTCCCATCCTTTTGATTTCTTGTAAGATTGAAGTTGTTTGTTGATCCTTTTAACAACTTTTGGTGTTTGAAACTAAGTACTGCTAGCTTAGCGTTGGTCACCTTCTAGTTTTTGCTTCTTCGAATTTACAGATTGTATATAGTTGGCAGTTAGGCAACCAGACAGATAGTCCTCTTCTTGTAACCAATTTCTTTCACCGTCTGCGCGTGGTTCCCTGAGCCAGAAGAGATTTTATTTTATAGGACTGGATTACAAGTCAAGAACCATTGCCTTAGAGTGATGATTTTGTGTTATTTTTCCTCAATAATTCATTAATTTGGAAAGTGTAGTTTGCTGGAATATACAGCGTTCCTGAATTTTTCTGGTTATATATTTATCTAATTTATACCCATGATTAACTACCTATCTGAAATCCAACATTGATTGTAGTTATCAAATTTTAGTGATTATGTATTGTTGCTAAAGTAATTTAAATAATGGCAGATATTTGATGTTGGGGAACATAAGGAAGGCAGTGCGTTCACTTCATACAGGCCACAGACTTGGACATTTAGAAGTGAGGAACGGCGGGACGACTGTTACAGTAGAGCCTTTCTTTCACAATAAATTGTTCTCACATTATAGGTGTTTAGCTAGAGGACATGGTTCCTCCCCGCTGTACTGCACCATAAGAAGTTTAAGCTGGACTGCGAATTCTAGAAATTTTTGTATCTGGACTGCCAGCAATGTCGTTAAACATCATGCTTACTTTGTTTGGAAAAGGGTTTCCAGCAAATTTTCTTCCAATTGCGGTAGTATTCTCACCTTAAATGAAGTTGCTCGGGCATTCTGCTTGGCCATGTCTCGTTCTCACCTGATTGTACCTGGTATCTTTGCTTTTACATGGGGAGAGCTAGCATGTGCCCAAAGAACATTCACAAGCATGGACCCTTATCCATCTCACAATTCTTTCTACATCCGGGCACAAGACGGACATGCCTATTTGATTTCATTACTATTTTCTACTTTAGAAGGCATTATATTATTTTTTAGAGCCCTTTATTTGGCAATCTTGTTCTCACCTTGCATATTGATGGCTCCATTCGCGGATGTCTTTGGATTTCGCTTCAGGAGACTCTGGCTCCAGGTTGTTCATCGTTCACTTGAAAAGGGTGGCCCAGCATTCATTAAATGGGGTCAGTGGGCTGCGACACGACCAGATCTCTTCCCTAGAGATTTATGCATAGAGTTATCAAAGCTTCACAGTAAAGCTCCAGAGCACAGCTTTGCCTACTCAAGGAAAACTATAGAACGGGCATTTGGTCGAAAGCTTTCTGAGATATTTGAGGATTTTGAAGAGCAACCTGTTGCATCAGGGAGTATTGCTCAAGTGCATCGGGCTTCTTTGAAATTTCGATACCCTGGTCAACAAATGAAGCCCATGGTGGTTGCTGTAAAAGTTAGACATCCTGGCGTTGGGGAATTAATTAGGAGAGATTTCCTTATAATTGATTTTATAGCAAAAGTTTCAAAGTTCATTCCTACTCTCAACTGGTTGAGATTGGATGAAAGTGTGCAACAATTTGCCGTTTTTATGATGTCTCAAGTCGACCTTGCAAGGGAAGCAGCACACTTGAGCCGCTTTATCTATAATTTTCGACGGTGGAAGGATGTTTCATTTCCTAAACCGGTGTATCCACTTGTTCATCCTGCTGTTTTAGTGGAAACTTATGAGCAAGGGGAAAGTGTTTCTCACTATGTTGATGAGCTTGAAGGATATGAAAGAGTCAAGTCAGCATTGGCACACATTGGGACACATGCTCTTCTAAAAATGCTTCTGGTAACATAACTTTATATTGTTACTGTAGCGTTGTTCACTGTTTTTCCTTTGAAATGATTTTCATTTATCTCCTTAAAAACCATTCTGTTCTATGCACTCATCGAATGTCAGAAATTTTAGTTTTTTGGATGTCTTTGCACTTCTAATTATTATTCACTTCCGAGATGGTTTCTTTAGTGGTTAGAGTGTTGCACTTTTCTGAATGCCAAGGAGTTCAACCTTCTTTGTTTCAGGTGGACAACTTTATACATGCTGACATGCATCCTGGAAATATCCTTGTCAGAGTTTCTCATGAAAAGTCCCGTCGGAAGCGGCTCTTCAAGTCAAAGCCTCATGTTGTCTTCCTTGATGTAGGCATGACGGCCGAACTTTCTGGAAGTGATAGAGTAAATTTACTGGAATTTTTTAAGGCTGTAGCTCGTAGGGATGGCCGTACTGTTGCCGAACGTGCACTTAAATTAGCAAAACAACAGAATTGCCCTGATCCCGAGGCATTTATTGAGGTAAGGAATGTGCCATTCTTATTCTTTGAGGTTTTAGGATAATTGTGGTTTAGGTTGTGGAATGCGAAGTTGTTGGGATTTTGAGGGTTGTTTGGTAGCTGCTCTTGTTTTTTGTTTCCATCTTTTTTTTGCAACATCGTCTTTTGGCAATGGTTCTTTGTCTCTTTCTCATTTTTAAGGAACTTTCTTTAAATAGTATTCCATTTTTTGGAACTTGAAATTTTGGTTTCTCGTTTCTTGTTATTCTAATAGACTGTTTTGTTGGTTTTTACTTATAAAATGACACGATAATTGAAAGTATGGTGATATACTAATTTGGTAACACTTTGTTTGTCAAGTAGGACTTCATTTGTTGTGTTCTTAACATTTTTAGTATAAGGGTTACCAAGGAAAAAATAAGGTAGAAGAAATAAGAAATGGTTTTCTTCGTCGTCCTCCTTGACGCCTTAATATCAAGGACCCTCCAAACTTATTTTTGTATTTTTATAGAAAGAAGAAACAATTATTGATCATGTGTTTTTTTTAGGAAAATAGAAAACAAGAAAGGTAAACTATACTATGCGTGGTTTTAGTTCATTGGTTGCTCCTCAGTGAATTTGAGATCGAAATTTATTTGCCTCACGAATTTCTTCAGTAGGTTTGATTCTATTTTTTGCGAGTATTTCTGATCAGCTGCTTACAGGAAGTTACCAATGCGTTTGATTTCTGGAAGACTCCCGAAGGTGATCTAGTTCATCCTGCTGAAGCCATGCAGCAATTACTGGAGAAAGTGAGGCATCACAGAGTCAACATCGATGGAAATGTGTGCACTGTGATGGTGACGACATTGGTTATGGAGGTAACTTCAGTCTACCTTTGCTACATTGACGAGATCGCATTTATTCTACAAGTTTCTCCCATTCGTATTTAGGATGTATTTTTAAAGGTTGCGAGAATTATTTTATGGTCCAATGATGACTGCCCCGATTGGCAAGCACTGATACTTGTGTGTACTTCCATTTCTGATTTGGATAGGGCTGGCAGAGGAAACTTGATCCTGCTTATAATGTGATGGAAACACTGCAAACTCTGTTACTGAGATCTGATTGGGCTGAGTCTCTCTCCTACACAATTGAAGGATTGATGGCACCGTAGAATGATGTGTCTGATCTGCTCCAACAAAACAATTTTGACAATGTAAAGGAGAGCCTACAAATATAAAGCTTACTATGATATATTTAAGTTCAATCTTGTATCCACATCATTCTTTCCACCAAGCTCTTACTTATAATTTTCTTTTTTTAGCTCAAATGTCAGGCAGATGCGGTGGATTTCTAGGTATATAAAGCAAATAATGTGGTAAACAGCCGAAGATTCTTTTGATTCTTCTGAAAAGTTAGTATCTTGCTCCTGGTAAACAGAAGCAGCAAGGGAAAACATGATCTTCTTCATAGTTGTTTTGATCTCCTTCTCAATTGACATATATAAACCATTCTCTTAACTGCAGCAGAGCAGAGTGTAGATCTGTTTCACTAGTAGTACACCTAAGGTGGCTTCAATTTTGCGGATGTACGTGGCAATACATGGGAGAACGGCCGTCTTTGGTCGTTTACAGGGGAGGTTTGTGGTGTAAATATTTAGATATTTTAGAGCCATGAGACCTTGACCACCTCGTGTCTAGATTTCCATACAAGACTTGTGAGAACGAAGAAACATGTTTTTTCGGATAGTCAACGTGTGGTTGTTTTCCCCATATTTCAGCAAACTCTTGTGTTGATGTATAATTGGGTGATTGAAGCCCCTATTATTGTATTGAATATAATGAATAGGCTCATTCCCCGTGGTCTTTCCATCTAAATAAACAACAGATCTTCTAGAACGGTGATTGCATTTTGGTCATTGTTTTGATATTGAATAATGAAGAACGTGGATGATAGTTGTATTTACTGTCCATATCTTATGTATCGGAAAAGTCAGGGATCAAATAAAATTTAGAACTAGTTGTAGTATATCTGTAATTAAGAAACAGAGAGATTATTTAATGGCATTAGATAAAATTAGAAAGTTCAAACTGGAGCACCCATCAAATAAATCGGAAAAGAAGAAGTAAAAAGGGCGAAGAAAAGCGTGTGTGATTTATTTAGAACAAAGGCAAAATCGAAGAGGAAAAGACCTTTACTACAAGAACCCAACTCGTTAGGGAGTTTGTTTCTCCATTGAAGGCTTCTCGGAAATGGAGGCATGCCTTTCTCCTCCTCATAATCGTCTCTCTATCTCTCCCTCTAACTTCTCTTTATATTCCAATTAAACTTGTTCCTTCTTCAATGGCAGGGATTCAAAGCATCCATCACTTTCCAATTTCAGCTTCTGGTTATTTCTCTCTGTCTTTTCACCTTCTCTTCCACTCTCAAGGTTTTCGTCTTTCTTCTCAATTTTGCTTGTTTGTGATTATTCTCGCCTCCCTTCCTTCCTTCTCTGATCTAACCTTCTGCTCCCTTTTAGATCGGAGAAACTTGCTCCTCCGGCGACAAATGCGATTCCGGTCTCATATGCGATACCTGCCCTGCAAATGGAAATACCAGACCCAGATGTACTCGCATCCAGCCAATTAGTCCAACATCCAAGGCGAGTCTCCAAAGTCGCCTCCCCTTCTTTGATTCGAGAAATTTTGTTCATAATTTATCCCCCTGTTTGTTTGGTTTTGTACAGGTAAAAGGGCTGCCATTCAATCGTTACTCGTGGCTTACGACTCACAACTCCTTCGCTCGTTCCGGCGAGAAACCGGGGACGGGATCGAGCATATTGGTGGCGCCCACCAATCAGGAAGATACGGTCACCAGTCAACTTAACGTGAGTTCTCATTCATTCTTTAACTTCTCTCTGAAGCTCTTCCGCTTTGAACGCTTTCATTTTTTAGAATCTACCCTTTTGCCCTGCACACTTTACAACCATTTTCCATTTCTCTCCGCCGCTTTCCTTTTTGCCCTCTTTTTCGCTCTTTAAAATACAAAACATTTCTTCCCAGCCAAAAAGCATTTTTATTTCCTATATATATAATACACACACACACACACACACATATTTAGACTCTGCATTTCTTTTGAGTCAATATTTCTTTCACGATATTAAATACAGAGTACGACATTAAAATTTTGTTAGTTAAATACTTTATATTTAAATTTCTATTGACTTATAAACGTGGTCCTCTAAAATGTCGGTAACTTGGGACTATTTTTTAGTTCATATATGGAGATTTTTTTTGAACAGTTAGTGACTACAAGAACTTCATTTAAAGAAAGATTTAATTACAGTGAAATTGAAATTTACAAGTGGTGAGGGACCAAATTTAAAAAAAAAAAAAAACAAAACAGAACAAAGAAATTGATTTGAGTTATTTGGAATCAGCTTAAAAAATGTATACAAACGTAACGGGCAAACATATTTAATTTGAAGAAATGAGATGGAATTGGAATAATCATACATTATTAAATTGTATGATGTGAATAATCTTTTTAAAAGTGGAACAGAGCCAGTAGGTGGACTGTCCCAAACAGCAAATCTGTGTATGGGCGATAATAAAATTAAATTGGTGGGTGGCTGTCACATGCTTTAATTATTCCATTTGGCCTTAAGGCGTCTTGTCAAAGCATCATCGCTCATTTATTCCTACTAATCGACACTCACATTCTAACTAATCCAAAACCAAATCTTTACCCTTTTCTATGCCTAATTTGTGGTTTGATTTTCGTAATGATGAATTTGTAGAATGGAGTTCGTGGGCTAATGTTGGATATGTATGACTTTCAAAATGATGTTTGGTTGTGCCACTCCTTTGCTGGTCAATGTTTCAATGCCACTTCTTTTGTAAGTACTTTGCTTAATTCCTCACTATCATCTATACAATTACGAACACAATATTTCTGAACCTCGCTTGAAAGAACTTCAAAGCAATGTTCAAAGAACCATAAAGTACAATAAAGTAGTGCTTTAAAGAAAGTGATACCCTTGACTTGTTTCCAGCAACCGGCAATCAATGTGTTGAGAGAAATTGAGAAATTTTTGGGAGCAAACCCAGAAGAGATTGTCACGATCTTCATAGAAGACTATGTGAAGTCTCCACAAGGCTTGAGCAAGGTGTTCAATGCTTCTGGACTGAACAAGTACTGGTTTCCTGTTTCCAGAATGCCCCAAAAGGGTGGGGATTGGCCAACCGTCGATGATATGGTAAAGCAAAACCAGAGACTAGTAGTTTTCACCTCTAAACAATCGAAAGAGGCCTCAGATGGCATTGCTTATCAGTGGCGCTATGTTGTCGAAAACCAATGTAAGGTCATTCCAATGTTTGTTATTCATGTGTTGTTATAATTCTTATGGCACTTGATAAGCGAATGTGTGGGGATGCATTCTCAGATGGGGACGGAGGAATGAAGCCTGGATCTTGTCCAAACAGAGCAGAGTCGCCTCCAATGAATACAACAACCATATCCTTGATCCTCATGAACTATTTTTCTACTAATCCCAACAGAACAGCCGTTTGCTCGGATAATTCGGCTTCATTAATTAGCATGATGAATACTTGCCATCAAGCAGCCGGCAAAAGGTGGCCAAATTTCCTTGCTGTTGACTTCTATCAGGTATCATTTTCCTGCAAGTAGGATAGATTTGCGAGGATGAATATTGAGTTTCAACTAATATATATAATATTGGTACTTGTGTTTCTCAACTTGGTGCTTGTAGAGGAGTGATGGTGGAGGTGCTCCAGAAGCTGTGGATGTAGCCAATGGCCATCTGACTTGCGGGTGTAATAATATTGCCTATTGCAAGGTTTGTAACCAAAAAGCGTTTGAATTGAAGAGAAATAGATACATTTATTACTTGAAAATGCAAACAGCTGATTGTATTTGAGAATAGGTTGTTGGCTAACTGAAAATTTATTGAATGAGCAGGAAAATACAACAGGCGTATGCGATAACCCGCCGATTTCTCCCCCTCCACCGGCCGCCTTGGAAAGTCCAGTGCAAGGTGCGGGAGATTCCGGTGACGCACACTTAAATGGCAGACCAGCGGAGCTCAGGTGGTTACTTGGAGCAATTTTGGCCGTCACACTGTTATTACGCCTCCATTAGTCATTATTCTGATAGTCTATCTTCTCTCCGATGATATTGACAACCAATTTGTTGGTTTCAATCTCCTTGCTACGTATGCCAATTATAATGTTCAAATAAATACGTTTGAGAATGCTTCTGAAAGTAGTTTTATTTTATACGAGATGTTTTCAATTATGCATACACAGCTGGAGAATGGGTAAGTGAAATGGTGTTTAATGCTAGTGTTAAATGCAATATCACCATAAAAAAGAAAGGTCCAAATCTGTCGAAAAGGGATGCTCAAACATTCATTTCGATGTAGAAATGGGCCAACTTTCATCACCCACAGGTTTTTAGAGAGGCTATACATAGCTGTCAAGTTGATATCAATGCTAGAGCTTTGCTACCCTTTCCTGGGTGAAGATGTGGAAAATTGATGGTACATGGAACAAAAGGGACCCCATAATTTATTAGGCCCAATCAGGAAACCGTTTACATAAGCGTACATTGTTGACAAACTGGATACAACTTTATAAGCAATAAATTGAAATTAATGTTTATGAATAGGGTGTGGATGCTCTAGTTGAACCTTTTTCCTATTATTTTCAAATGTATGATATTGAACAGTGAGGGAATGGAACGAACAATGTAAGAAAATAATAATATACCTCATTCCCGAAGACCGTCTTCGGAGGGGCCTTGACAGAGACATGAATTGATTTTATCTTCACTGGTATGAGGACCGGCAATAGAAGCCTATTGACAGCAAAAATGAACTATACATATTGTGATTGACATTGTTGTGGCCGCGTAGGGCAGCTTCTAAATGGAGGACCCGGCGTAATAGCTGCGAATGACTATTCGGGTGTGTCCCAAGCTGGAAAAGTTGACTGCTACTTGTGCTGAAATTATTCACGTATCTCGTTGTTCATCCACGTTGGTTTCACCTAATTCTGTCGCCTGCCTTTCACTTAATCCATCCTTGACATTGTCTGAATGTGAGTTCTCTGGGTTCTTTCCAGTTTTGCGATCCTAAGACAACATTTCAGGCTTGGTTTAACGATCAATATGAGACAAACTTCGAGAAGTTGGAAAAGATAAATGGAGTATTCAATGAACTAGAGATTCTATGATTCAGCATATCCCATTTGCAGTCTCATTGGAAAGCACAAGAAGCAAGGATCGATTCTATCGAAAATTACTCGGGAACTAACGAACTCTTATGAGGGAAAACCATTTGCAGTATGAATGGTGACTAGCCTGAAAAAGTGAGGTAAATGACTACTACATTTGTATCTTGAAAACTTAGGATTAAGATTCCCTTAGCATATTGGTGATGGTTTGCTCAAATTAAATACTTGCCACTTCAGCATTATGTTTTCATTCATTATCTGAAACTGAGAGTAGATCGATCCATTGATTATGTGTGTCATGGCATTCTGCAACTCCTAACTCCTAAATATTAATAAACCTATCCAAGATATATATATAGAACAATAAATGAACTTCAAGTAAACTTTGTTTCATACCCCTTTTAAGGTAGCCTCTTCAGCTTCAAGCATATGAATAATGTGTCCCATTTTTGGCCGCTTCTGAGCATTTGGGTCCACACAGCGTAATGCAACAAGAAGAGCCCGCTTTAAAGCTCTTGAAGTAGGCTTTTCAGAAAGCTTTGGATCCAATACGCCCTCCGGGTTACGGTTACTAACCAATCTCTTAAGCCAATCGATCAAGTGTACCTGTAAATTTTAACCTCTGCAAACTCATAATCGAACAAAAGGAAAAAAGGGAGATCTGAAGAATGGTATGTACAACGCTTAATAATGATTTTTCTTCAAAGTATGGAGCATACCTCATCTGGAGGACGACCATAATCGACAGGGTTCCTCCCTGAGATTATTTCCATGACGAGTATTCCAAAACTATACACATCACTTCTTTCATTTAGCATCCCCGTACTTGCATATTCTGGCGCTACATAGCTGGAAAGTAGCATAAATCCCATTACAAAATCTAAATTCACACATGAGATACCCACACAAGAACGTATATAGAAACATCAAATGATATACATGTACGCACCCAAATGTTCCCATGACTCGAGTTGTGATATAGCTATTATCAGAGCATAGTAGCTTTGCAAGCCCAAAATCTGAAACCTTGGAATTCCATTGCTTATCGAGTAATATATTGCTTGATTTGATATCCCGGTGAACAACCTTTGGTTCCAATCCTTCGTGAAGATAAGCTAGCCTACATATGCAAGTTATAATACGTTAATGTCAAGAATGTAATGCAGGCAGGGGCTGGGGGATGGAGAAAACTCAAGCTTCTACATTGAATTGAAGCTAGACAATACCCTTTAGCGGTTCCAAGAATGATATTCATTCTAATCTCCCAGGTAAGAGGGCTGAAAGATCCCACATCCCCATGAAGCCATTGTTCCAAGTTTCCATTATTTATGTACTCATATACAAGCATCCTATGACATCACATGGAGAAGAAAAGGCAGATTTTATTGCTCAACATTCAAAGATTAAATGCAAGCATACAATGAAAATAATGGAATGAGTGCAAGTTTCGTCTTTAGAACCGCAGGCAAGCTTTTAAAGAAAAAGCCGCAAAGGTATTTGGGGGAAAGAAACAGAGTACCTGTGAGCACCTTCAGCACAGTATCCAAGTAATCTAACTAGGTTCTTGTGTCTGACTCGTCCAATTGCTTCAACTTCAACTTTAAACTCCTTCTCGGCTTGTCCCCTACGAAATTAATGATTCTTTAATGCAAGTCCCAATCCACGCACTAAGGCAGAGGAAATCAAGGTTGAAGAAATATATGGAAAAAAAGTACCTATTGTTTAGTAAATTCTTAACAGCAACCTGAGTTCCATCCTCCAATATGCCATGATAAACAATTCCATACCCACCCTCACCGATTACATTATCGGGGGCGAAGCCGTTAGTGGAAGCTTCGAGCTCTCTGAGAGTGTACCAATGCCCCCAACCCAAATGGGAAACTTCAGGCACCACCATAGGCAACTGATCACCACCACATCGGCCTTCTACACTGCCGTGCGAAGAAGACGACCGACCTAGGCGCTCAGGATATGAAATCCTATGATCCTTCCCGATCTCAATATGAATCCTGTTCACTCGCTCTTCGTCCTGAGGCAACGAAAGCAACGCTTGGCGCTCAACTCCGGGGATTACTTCCGGCTCGACCTGAAAATGGGCTCTACTACTAGGCTTATTTTCTTGGTTTTGAGCGAGGGGCTGCTCGATTCTGATCTCTTGGATTTCTTTGGAGACGATTGGAATTGTGGGTTTGTGAGAAATGTTCTTGCGAGAGCGTTTAGAGGCGATCCAAAGAGAAATAAGAAACAGAAAGAGCACAAAAGCTGCTCCTACACAAACCCCAAGAACAACCCACAAGCGTAGGCCAAAAATAGAAGTCTGCTTGGAGAGCTGGTCGGTCATGGAGCCTGATTTGTGGTCAGACATTCATTCAATCAGTCCGATTATCATCGGCAGAAAAGAAACACAGCTCCTTCCACACACCCGCCCTAAACGAAAAGAATCGAAGGGATAAATTTATAGTCGGTGGTGACATCAGAGTTGGAAGAGACGAGAGGCAGTGAAAGAGAGGGATGATGAGTAAAGGAAGGGAGAGAGAAAGAGAGAGAATTGGGAGTAAGAAGCAGCTGGCATGATGGGACCTTTTGGAATCGATAAAATCAGAGTCCCAATTTGGTTTGTTCTTGGGCTTCCCACTAAATTTACGCGGGCACAGAGATCTTCTTTACAAACACCATCCATCATCATCAAACCCTGCCCTGCCAATGCCAATGTCAATGCCATGTGAGAAATGGCACTCCTTCAACTCACAAATTTCAGGCTGAAGCTCCACGCCAGGAATATTGATTTGAGTGGTTATGAACAGTAAGAAACCGGATCCAATTCCCTTTCCCTAAATAGTAAACCCAACGCCGTCGTCTTCCCAAGTATGGATCACCCTCTCATCATTGGTCATCTGCTCCAGCCCACTTCAAAATTCTTCTCAACCCAATTATAAATTTTAGCATCCGTTTATTGGATGATATTTTAACAAAATATTCTCAAACTAGATTTTATGAAGATTAACTAAGCCATTAACATTTTCACCTAAATTTATATTGACCTCTTCTTTACTATTTTATAACCTTTTAGAACATAGTTTTTTTAAAGTGAATATCGAAGTTTCTTTTTAACATTTAATTATTTAAAATTGTTCTAAAATCGTCATCTTTAATCCATCCAAGATATTGTTCATCAAAGGTAGATTCTATGCTTGACTGGGTGTTAAAAGTATTTTCTTAATTGCAGCATTACGGTACCTTAAATCCAAATTAAAGGGGTTGGAATCAACGATTGTTGAAATATTTTTAAAAGCAACTATGATTGATAGTTTTTCAAAACGAAAACTTGAACAAAACAGTCACAAAAGAACTATATACTCTAAAACTGACATTTTAGTTTGATTAGTGTGTTCATATCACATACGTATCGAACATTTGGACACTGCAACATTTGCTGGACATGTATCAAATTCTTACTAGTTTGCACGAGGTCAAACTAAGTCAACACTTGTTATACATGCATCATATATCAAATAGACAAGTATGACAAACATGATAAATTTTAATGGATAAACTCAGGTTTTATGTAGGATAAAAATAATATACATTTTTAAAAACATACTCTAATAAACGAGCCATTGTCGGGCTAGATTTAAAAAATGTCGTGTCGTGCTATACGAGTTGTCTCATAGCTTCTTAGCCCAAAAATAAACAAGGGATCAAAGTATCATTAACTAATCGGAATACCGAGTCCAATACATAAATTAGAAACAAGAAACGTGGCTAAACCCCGAAAGATGGATGAGAAAAACGAATCAACGCCGGAGAAAAATGAGTCAGATTTGTACAAGAGAAAACTATGCAGATCCTCTCCATAATTAGCCAGCTCTATGCAACAAATTTTCCCATTTTCAGAGTGATTTGTCAAATGCAAGTGAATAATTTGAAGAGAATAAGAATATATAAAGGCGACAGAAAGTGTCAACAATCTTGATCATTGCAGCTCAGTTGTTTCAGTTGCTTTGCCTGTGTTGACGCTGATGTGTGAACCAAAAGTACAGAAAAATGGCAGAGAAACAAAAAAGGAGTTGAATTCTACCCATTAAAAAAGGAAGGGAATACAAAGACTGTGCTCTGGAGTGTAATTTAGAAGCACACCTGACCGATTTTCTTCAATGATGCACGGTTCCAATGAGACGCCATTCCGTAGTTCTTCTAAATCAGGAGGCGCTGGAATGTTATTGGGGCATGACACTGCAACAACCAAATGAAGGATAATCTTGTTTTGTTGATTCTAGTTGATTTGACCATTCTCATGAAATCATCAGAATAAGTCATGGAAATGGAATATTGTAGAAGGTTGGTAGATCAAATTACTCACGGAAGGGAGTTGTCTCCGATTGGCCGATCGCATTCACTTGGTGGTCTCGCAGTGCTTCTCTGCAAATCTCCTTCAAATGCAACATGGAAAGCTCGAGCATTGTCAGTTTCTAGTTTTTATTGAGAAGGGACTTGAAATATTGATTATACTTCTGCTTTCAACCTTGTACTAACAAAACCAACCTATGAATTATTGGGAAGTTACCTTGGACTTTGGGGACCCACTCAAGTAAAAGGGGACTAGGTGAGTTTGGATGGGCGGGGCCAATTCAAATGGAGTTTGTGGGTTAGTTCTTCCAATGTCTGACATGAAAGGATGGATGGAGGCAGCCTTTTGGTCAGGCAAACTGAGAAAGATCTGGTTGGGTCTCTCTTGGTCAGAGGAAAGTGACCTGCTTCCTTCACCAAAGTCCATTCTCATGGGGGAAAGTTGGAGATATTGCAAACTTCCAGGCAAGTTCATAGGATGCAAACTCAAGCCATGTCTCATCGACAGCATCTGATTGATGTGAATAAACCCAGAAATGAACTTGGAGAATGTAACGATCTAAGAATAATTGGAAAATACACCCACCCACCCACCTGAAGTTGAAGTTGAAGCTGCTTGAGATATTCGATTGCATCGTCCAGCATCGAGGCCTTGTCAGTCTGTTGCACTTGAACCAACAGAGCTCAAAAAAAGGGAAGAAATCAAAACCAAACAGCAACAAAATTTGGAATTCAATTGTGGGTTACCTTGTTAGAATTGGGGACCAGATTTTGCAAGGCCTTCATTTTCTCATTAATTCTGCTCCTTCTTCTCTGCTCAGGAAAGGATCAAAATAAAAAACGAAGATAATAACGTTTCGAGAGCAAAATAAAAGGAAAGAGAAGTACCTTTTCAGACATATTATGAACTTCGGCGGCTCTGCTTCTCTTGGAAGAACTGCGAGGATTGGGCTTTGTAGGCAGGTCTTCAACCAATGCCTCCAGACCCTACTACGCATTTACACAAACACAAGGTGTGGATAAGAAGGTCACCATTCCCATTCCCACCAGCTCAAGCCTCAGAAGGGAAAAAAAGGAATCTAAAAACAGAACCCACGAGTGGAATGAAGTGTGTACCTCACTTTCGCATTCAAACTCATCGTTTTCATAGTGATCACTAGCTCCGACATGTATAGAAGACGCATTGGGTGGAGCGGGTGTGGGACAAGAGCGCAAGGGATCATGTACTACACCGGAAGATGAGAAATTTGCAAATTGTTCTGAGGCATCGACGGGGGAGATCTCTTCAGGAACTGCATTAGGCAGCCCGTAAGGAGGGGAAATGTTATGGGTTGGAGAGGTGAAGGCTCTAATGTTGCAGGTGAACTCTGAGAAGATGGAGGGAGAAGGAGAGGAAAAGAGGAGAGAGGAGTGGGGAGCGGCGGAAGAGGAACGTAGCAACATTTGTTGCAGAAACAGAGAGATTTCATCGGGAGGGGAAGAAGAGGGGACGGCGGCGGTGGCGGTGGCGGGGAGAGTCCACGTCGAAGAAGAACATGCATTTTGATCGCAATTGTTGGAAATGGAATGGTCCATTTTAGAGGGATAGGAAGCAAAGCACGGTAGCGCTCTAAATTGTCATTTTAAGTTGGGTATTGGGCTTGTTGAACATCGTCCGCTCCGTTGCTCGGCGTTGTATCCTGTAATCTCTCCGCCACTTTTCTGCCCGGAACTACTAGGCGGGTTACGCTGCTTTCCCCCACTTAAAATCATACTTCCAGCTCTATTTAAATTAAACCTTTTAACAAAATTTCATTTTTCATTGATTCAGTGGTTCCAACTTTAAATTTTATTTTATTATTAGAGATATAATCTCAATTTATTTCATTTATTTATATTATCTTTTCTAAAGAAAGAAAATAGAGATTTTGGTTCCTACTAGTCTAATCTCATCCAGAATATATGTATAAAATTAATTAAAATATATTTAAGTCAGTGATCCTACGTGGTTATAAAAATTACAAGTTCACACTAGTATCTGTATAAAAAGAGTGTTATTAATCAATTGAGAGTAAAATAGATATAAGAAATAAAATGATTATATTTTTATATTTTAAGTTTCAAAATTAATTTTTTAATATGTAATTAGTTTTTATGTGTTAATAGGTTTTTGAATATTAAATATATTAGGCATATCATAAACTTTTTAATTTTATATTATTTTTTAAACTTGATAAATTCGTATTAAAATGAAATCGAATGAATGAGGATTTTCCAAATTTTAATTAAGAAAATATTGAAGAGATTTAAGAAGCTGTTAAACCCTAAATATAAAACATGTTTAAAGTTAAATAGATTATTTAATGCGTTAATGAAAGGTGTAGAAGACGCGCGTAGATAGGGCGTGAGAAGGAGGATGAGGGTTTGAGCAGCGTGATCTGAAAATTGTCAGTAACCGAATTGTGATTGGAGGGTCAATGATGGTACAGTAATCTCTTTTATTATTATTCTATTCTTTCCCCAGCTATGCCTGCTTCTGTCCCTCGCACGTGACCCCCACCATCTAATTTTCATCTAATTCACACAATTAATTAACTTTTCTCCATAATCTGTGTCTCCCATTTTACTTATCTACAATTTCGATACCATTCCACCATCTACTTTTTTGTATTATTTTTCAAACCCCATTTCACCCGTATTTTCTTAGTATTGAATAATAATAATAATAATAATAATATATATATATAAAAATTCATGGGATGGGAGATACAATGGATTTAGATTTAATTTAATCAATTCCAAAATTTCCCATTTTTTACTGTCTCCTCTTCGTAGCAAGGAAGGACAAGCATACATTTCCTCCATGCCTCCTCTAATTTCTACGCTTCATCAACTTTAGAAACAATGGAATCCACAGCACTTATCTGAGCCCATCCCCATGGAGTATGGCATATCGAGTACCATACACTCTAATCCAATACGTACGCTCGATATCGTTATAACTAAAATAGTAAAATGTAGGTGAGACAATTCATCGTAACTACGGTTTTAATTTTTTTTTATTTAAGTAGGTGTTTAGATTATTCCATCCAGGTAAAACATCACCCTCTACTAATGAAAGAATTATGGTTATGTTTTTTTCTTCGTGATCATGAATATAATTTATGTTTGTTTTTAATGAACATATTTGTGTTTTCTAAACTCTTATTTTAAATCTTCATAAAACGAACTATTTATTTATATTTTTCCTTAAAGACAAAAATTCACAAAACGATTCTACAACATCTATACGTGCAATTTAATACCTTGGGAACATACCATTTTCTCAAAGTGAAGGCCCGCCAATCAAATCACAAACCGAAATTGATCAAATTGAAGTTCTGTAATATTATTAAGAGCTATAGGATCAAACAGTAACGAGACTGGAAACTCGCCTATGTTTGAATGTCGATTCGATGTATGATGACGTTACTTGATAGAGATGGTAATGCTTTTTGTGGACCCGATCATAGAGAAGACACGACATCCTTTTGCCTAATCGCACCTTGTCACGTTTTATTTATTGACATCCTTTCTTTCTTAGAGAATGTTTTTAACTAAATAATTCAATCAACTTCCTCAATTTAATTTTCATAAAATATAAATAAATACAGTAAACTTTAAAATTTTAACATTTTAGTTTATTAAGGTTATTTTTAAAATTGTAACAATTTAATTTCGAATTTTTTTATCAGAATTAATTGTTAAATTTTATTAGAAAATACTCAAAACTTAGGATTTATAATTATATTTAATTATTGTCTAATCCATTTGTGATTGTATAATATCAGAAATCATATAATATTGTAAAATAATCATTTACTTACATAAATTACTAAATTATTATACGATATCGAAATCCCTAATATATCAAATCATGATAATATCATATGTTGGGGACTCTGTTATTGTAGAGAACTAAGAAACGGGAGGGATCGGGGTATCTCCGTTTGAACAGCGGCGCGCAAGTCAGGCTCAGTAACGAACAATTCTTGGAACATAGGCCGCAGCCTGAGCCGTTTTTTGATATCCAACACAACGAAAACACAGCCGTTGCTGTGAGTCCTCAAGCAGCGGAAAGCGTTGTTCAGGATTTTGTGGGAATGGTTAAAACTAAGCACCAAAAGTCCAATCCTAAGCGACACCCGCAAGTAATTCCTTCTATCTCTCTTTTCTCAACTCTACGCCTTCTTTCATTGTGCACAACGACAACCCTTATTTTCTTGTTTAAGCTCTTACCTCTGTTCCATTCCTAATGCAACGCCCAATTGTGTGCTTATGCTGGCTCATCCCAAGTTATCATTGGGGTTGAATTTACCCCAATTTTTCTGAACTAGCTTCATGACTATTATGCTAGATATCAGTTTTATCATTGTTAAAGCTCAGTGATTGCTTAAAAATATATCATAACTTATATTTGGGTTTAGTGATGCTGTACTGCAGAATCAGAGCCCGGACTTTAGAATTCAAATATCCTGCAATGTCAACCTAATCTTATTTGATATTAATTCTGAGTTTTGTTTGTTTGCGGAGTGTTAAAGAATATATGAAAAGATTAAATATACTCTAATTTGTAGGCCAGATTTCATTGGGTCGGGTAATTTAACAATTATTGGTTTGTTTAGAAGTAGTTGTTTAGTAGTAGCTTTTAGGTTTAGTCAAATGAGCATAATTCAATGGTTAAGTCACTAGCAATCTTCTCTAAAAGTCAAAGGTCGAATCTCTATCCTTACAGTTGCAATGCTATATATATACACACAAACACACACACACACAAAGTTTGTTGCTTAGCAAGAAGTTTTGGGTTATTTAAAGGGAAGAATATGTCTTTGCAAGATACTTCCGAGGTAAAAGGTAACATTAGTTGGTGGCTGGAGACTAGCCAACTTCCATTACTCCGGACATGTCCAGTAAGCTTCATTGCAACGAAGTGGTCGATTACTATGTTCACACTATACATTACACTCTCTGCTAATGCATGCCTCGAGCTTGATGTTAAGCTAGATGATCAGAATTTCCTCTAATACTAGTTCCCTGAAAATGGTTTTGATTGGCAGAACAAAAAGCCTGGAAAGTCACCTGATATTTCGCAGTTTCGTGCTCAGCTTGACTTGTTGAACCTTAAAATTGTACAAGTGACCGCAGATGGTAATTGTTTTTTCAGGTCAGGAATGATTAGATGAATCCATATTATTCTTGTAGAGAATCATATATTGCTAGTAATTGCCTGAGGATAGGGCCTGGGAGATGTCATATTTCCTTGGTGGTTCCATTTGTACCTCTTCTTTCAATCAATATATTTATATACTGCATAATGCATATAACTCTAAGCTTATGAGATTTTCGTTCATTTTTGTTTCAAATGGTCTGCATGCTTATCAATTGACTTGTCTAATGCTCATATTTTCAAGAGATTTTCTATTTGGCTTATGTTTTTTTGAAAGTTACTCTTGTATAATCTCAATAAGTTGCAGGGCCCTTGCAGATCAGTTAGAAGGGGATCAAGAGGAACACGAAAAGTACCGGAAGATGGTCGTACAATATATTTTAGTATGTATCAGGAACTAGCTTCTCATACTAACTCTGGCATTGTACTTAACCATACTTTCTTATAATGAGTATAAACTTTACCTAGTACACATTATTCTTTAACCTTTAATAGTAACTACAATATGTTAGTATTCCTTATGCACTGCTCCGTACAATGTGTCTAGATTACAAAAAATGTGGAATTTTTTATTTGGTCTACCATCCATGATTTTGTTATTAATTCCTTGCAAAATTTCCGTGGATTAATTCTCTGTCTGCAGTTGATTCTATATTGTCATCCAATTATGCTTCAATTTGTCTCATATCACTTGCATTCACGTAAAGTCACACACTTGTTTCATTGGATTTGTCTACTATCTCTCTCTTCCCCCCCCGCCCCCCAGCTTCCTACATATTCTTATCATAATATGTATTATAAAATGTCATTAACAGAAAAACCGTGGAGCATTTGAGCCATTTATTGAGGATGATGTCCCATTTGACGAATATTGTGAGTCCATGGAAAAGGATGGTACCTGGGCTGGACATCTGGAATTGCAGGCTGCTTCTCTTGTTACTCATAGTAATATATGCATTCACCGGGTGAGAACTCTCTACAAACCTCTGCGTCCATTGTTTCTTTCCGGAAATTTTCCATGGTATCTTCAAAATTGAAGAACCAAGTCTGCATTCAATTCTTTGAGCAAGTATGATGACCAATGTAGTGCTAACTATGTTGAAGTGCAGAACAAAAGGGTGCTTTTCATGCGCTAAGCCTGGAACTACTACGAATTTTTTAACAGGACATGTATTTGAGTATTGAAACTATAACTCATAACGGCTGGGTATTATGTTTTAGTATTTATATTTGTGATACAAAATTAGGATAACAATGAGCCATCAACTGAAAATTCCTGAAGGTTAGGTTTCATCTAATGTGTGTGTTTGTGTATTAATTTGTATTAGTTGACTTTAATTAATGTGTTTGTCCGTCCCTCAACTTAAACCTATAGACTTGTCGTTACTACTACATGGATATCACGAATTATGTAATACTAGTTGGCCAGGATCATTGTTTACTGATTACTTGTAAATGTATAGATGTCATCACCTCGTTGGTACATACGAAATTTCGAGGATCAAGAAGCTCGTATGGTCCACTTGTAAGTGTTTGATTTATATTGTACATTAGCCGTCAAATTTTCTTATAAATGACTGAATAGGTATGAAGAAATTTGAATATGAAGCTAATTAGGTACAATATTTTTGGTGCTGTATTTATGTGAGTGGTAATAGATGTCCTTAAATAGATGCTAATAGCTTCTTATTGTAAACTTAAAATATATTATATTTGGAAACATATGCCTTGAAGTATCTAATTACAAAGTACAATCATAAATTTGTAGTTCTATTCAGCAGTTTATGATAAGACCATTAGTTCATAATCAGTCAATTCTTAGGATCTGCGTTTTGCGAAATGAGATGGAAATGCAAATGATTGAAAAAACTTTGTTCTTTGATATTAAAGTAAGTATGAAAGAGAAAGTTAACGTGACTGAAAAGAGTTTTGAAGTACATAGGGTTCTAGTTTCTTTTATCATCACAACTTATTCAAGCATAAGAAAACCAATGTTGAAGCTGGTATTTAAAAAAATCAATCTTAAATCATATTTTTCTGATTATGTTGGTTGCATTTGTTATTGATATATCATCATGGTGTGGGATAATATTGCCCGTCAACTATTATCTGTGTGTTAGATAACACTTTATCTGCTTGTTAGAGTTTAAAATCTACCAATATTTTAAAATGATTTGGCATGCATTACCTCTTTTTTGACTTCGGTTTGAAAACTTTACCAAGATCTTATCACGACGAGGAACATTACAATAGTGTGCGATTGAAGGAAGACACATGTGCTGGCCCAGCCAGGCTAATTACAATCAAAGTCAGTTTCTGTTTTTCTTTTTTCCCTGAATATATATTTATTTTTGGAAGTTTTGCTCATTTTCACTGACAGATAAAAAGCAATATATTAACAGCCCATTTTATTGTTTTGCTGTGGAAGGGTGATACTGTTCCCTCAGCAAGCTCACTTCAAGCAAAAGTTTTCTCTACGAGTTCTCAAAAGAGAGGTCAAAGTGCTATTAGTCTTGGAAATATCAAGTTAGTTATGGCAGGTAGTGGTTGTCAAAATTCTAAAGAAGTTGAAAAGGTGATTACATCATGCTAAATATTGGTTTCCCATGTCCATATAATTGATTTTCTTATAATGCATTTACTATTTAGTTAGGAGTTGTGCTTTTCGTTTGGTGGCAGGTTTTGGTCCAAGTCGATGGGGATGTTGATGCTGCAATAGAGTTTCTTGTGGCAGAACAAGCAGCAGAAGAACACAAAGAGCCAACTGAATCAACTTTGTGTCATATAGATTCTTCTTTTGGTAATTTCAGATTATCAATTTTCTTCCTTTCTAGAAAATTTTGTGCACATACGCTACATTAAAAGCGGAAGAGAAAGTGGGTTTTTTTTTTCCTGAGCTACTGGAGAGGGATATGCACTTATAGAAAACTGTGGTTATCTACTCTCCAATAACATGGAATTTGTGACAAAAAAAAAAAAACGTGGAATGCAGATAACACTGATGCTTCCCTGATAATTTAGTGACGAGTCGTGGTTTGGAGTTTGCAGTCTTATGCTCTTATTGTTTATGTTTTTTTAGTGGGTTGAATTGGCTTTGTTAGTTTTGGCTTCAGAAAACTTCAATTTGTTACTTTCAATAGATGTCGTAGTTGAGTTTTGCCTATCACATAAATGAAGGTGGAAAATTTTTCATCTCATTTTTCCTTTCACCTGCCACTCACTCTGCCGGAAGAAAATGCCAGAACTTTTTTTTCTTCTTTTTTTTTTTTTGGAGTGACAACGCTTTTGCTCAATATTTGTGTTATCATTGAATTCTATAATTTTCCTTCAATATTTATCAAGATTTCTGCAAATATTCAGGTAGCGATGAAACAAAAGATTGTAAGCAATTGGAAGAGCGAACAGAAGAGAAGCACGACAAAGTTGATTCATCTAATCATAACACTAAACATTCTATTAGCAACAGTTCTCAATCAGACGACAAGGTCTTCTTCTATATCATAATGCAAGAAATTTTTAGTACAGTGGTCGTAGCTGCTTATATTTCTCCCTTTCCCTTATCAGAAGATCCCAAGGAATAAAGTCTGCCCATGTGGTTCAAAAAAGAAATATAAAGCTTGTTGTGGATCAGTTGCTGCCAGTTCGTCTGGCAAGTTTATAGTGTATGATTCTCGACCTTTTTATGTTTTTATGGGGTATATCATACCACTTGTCATCTCCGCCCCCACATGCATCAAAAGAGAAGACTTGAAATTTGAATATTTAAAGGAAAATGTATCCATAATATGAAGCTGCTCTCGTTACAGGAACAAAACTATCGACTCTAAGAAGACTAGAAAGGAAAGGAAAACGGGCAAGAAAGGTGGACCTGCTAAAGTTGAAGTGTCCTCTGGATCTGATGGATTGCCACATGACTTGGGAGCTCTTTGTATTTGATCTTCATCTGGCCGCATGTATGCCATCTAATCAATTAATTCTGTCTCACTCGTTTCTCAGAAAGTTTGCATTGAGAACAGCGTTCTATTTTGTTTCAGGAGGAAGCATTTTAGCTGCAGCTTAAAGCGAGTTTGGAATCACAGGTTAGGGACAAATTAAACAGTCTTCCTCTCTTTCAACGTTTTCTTTCTGGGGTTTTGCGACTGATAATTACCAATAATTTTGGATGTTTAAAGGATTTCCCCCTCTATTTATCATCACCCTTGTTATTTTGGATAAAGGATACAACTATATTTAGAAAAAAGCGGGTACAATTTAAAAGGATAATGACGAAGCAATCCCAAAAGGGAGGGAAAAGACTAATTACAAGAAAGAAAGAAAGACTATTATATTTGTTACTAACCCTTATTTCCAAACTGGTAAATGAGGATGACATTAATGAATTTGATGTTGGTGAATCATAAACAAGTAAGCAACTTGTGTCTTTTTCAAGCTCACTCAAGATCATCATACTTGTCTCAAAATATTTTCTTATTTCTCTCCCACTAGACAGCATAAAATGTGCTTTATCCACAAGTTTGGAGTCTTTCTTACCATTTTTTTCTTTTCTCAAACCTCAAGTATTGCGGAAACTCATAAAAAATGAAAATGCAAACTATTCAATTTAAATGTTCTTACATCGTGAACTGTAATTCTGTTGTTTTTTTATGTTTTTTTTTTCTTTTCACTTTCGCATAATTCTGGGGCACTGGGAATGCCCCAGATGGATGACCCAATTTTCTTTGCAGGGCTTCCTTAGTAAGTTTTAAAGAGTTGCTTTTACATAATCGTAATTAATGTCATACTGATGTCTCTAAGTTCGGTTTAGATGCTGTAGTCTATCGCTGATTGGTGGTGGGATTTTCCCACTAGAATACCCCAGTGGTTATTGGGAAAATGAAGGGCGGTTGTTTCCCCAACGTACGTCTATGCAAGGCTGGATCTTTGTTGAAGCCAACTGGACTTGGAAGTATAAATATAGAAGCAGCAGCTCACAAAATCTGTCAGCCTATGATCAATGTCGTTAGTTTATAGAAATGTAAAATGGAACAAATGAAATTAGCACCCTTTATATGCACACAAAATATAATCGCAAGTTCTCTTGTAGAAGAATCATGGAAGTGGCAGATTTGAGAAAATGCAAAGACTTAATTGTATCAACCAAGAAAAATTTGATGAGATTTAGCTAAGATTACATGTTTTCCCTAGTGTCTTGGACTATTGAGGAAGAAAAACATTTCGAAATTTGTTTGTTATGCACTTGCGTTCTGTAGTATTCGTGTAATTGCCTGCCGCGTGATCTTTAAGTGGCTCCGTTATTCTTGCATTCAATTGAATTGTATTGAGCTATGATTCACAGGTCGTTTTTACAGTTCCCTTGGTGTATAAACATTCCCCTTGGTTTCTTGGGTCACCGAGCCTCCAAGAAAAAGTATTGCTCTTTTACTCTTTCCAGGTTTATAGGGCTCCTGTAGAGCTTGATTTCTAAAACTTGGCGAGTCTTTGGAACCTAGAAGGTAAGAAATGGCGCTAGAGAGGAGATCAGCTCCTGTGAGTTGGTTGTTTACTATCCTCAATGATTGAAAGATAAACAAGTTCAGTCATAAACTGCAGACGCTACAGAAATCCTTTGGCTGGGCAAGAACTCTCTTCTATGAAAAGGCGGCATGTTCAGCATGCTGGGCTTGAAATATTTATTTCAAGCACGTGAGACAGCCTTAAGATCCACCATGTCGGACCAATAAGGAAGCTGCCCTTTGCCTCCCTACAATAAGTTTGCTGTAAAGAATATAGTGCACGTATATGTCCGTCCATTCAGTAACAGTAAGAACCTCATTTTAATGTCGGTAGGTTTACACAAGAAAAATATGTCTCTAACTTAATTGACAAAACATTTGTGTGTTGTAGGATGTCAAAATTGCATCTTTTCGGGACCACAAAGTGATTGTGCAGTACTTGCTCTCGCTCTCAAGTAAGTCAACAAACTCAAACTTAAATTGTCCGTGACAAAAGAGTATTTTTATAACTCTACATGTTCTTGAAAAACAACTATAGAAAACGAAATTAGAAGAAATTATTTTGAAAGCATTTCAAGAAAGCAAGTGTTACATGCTAGCATTCAATAAAAGACAACAATAACATCGATAACATATAGTTTAGATAAGAACATTTGGCAATTAGTTATAACATTACGAGGTAGAATGACTATGACAAACTTATACATGAAAAGAGACGAGCACAAACTTGCAAAAGTAGTCGTAAATGAAATGAAGACACAAAAGTAAACAAATAATGAAAATATAAAGGAGTTGTCATAGACATAGACATGTAGGATGGACAATAAGGCTTGGGACAAACATAAGCATCAGAAAGGCACATGGTGGTAAATGGTCCTCCTCTTGAAGGACATCCCTCATACAGACCTGTACTAACTGTAGTACTCTTAAGGATATGGCTAGTAAAAAGTCGTCCCTACTTATCTCTTTGTATGTGGTCATTTGGCATTTGCCTTGTTTGTGGTACATTCTGATTATAAATGTTTTTTTCGCATTCTTGCCTAACTATTTAGTAAACTGTTAAGAATTTTGTCCAGACGTGACTTTTTTTTTTTTTTTCCCCTTCTCCCACAAAGGGTCAAGAACCAAATTTGTTTGTTAAAACTCAATTTTGGCTTGCCAGCTTCAACACGTTTCTTTAATACATACATATATGTGTGTGTGTGTGAAAGTGGATAGAGTTAATTTCTTGGAAGTATTTATTAGTAAATTAATGTTGAAATTACTTGTTCCATGGCTAGCAAGAAGCGATTCCATTTGAAAGGGGTATCTGAGAAGTGGCATGATTTCTTTGCTGCTTCTAAAATGAGAAAGTTGAGAAAAGAAAAGTTGGGTTTATAAGAACAAGTTGGGAAAAATTAGAAATTAAGACGTTAAAAGCATTCCATTTTTAGCATTAATTAATCTTCCATGAAATGAGTGGGTAATCTCATAAAATTTCCATGTTTTTCCAGAATTGAGGATGATGGGAATTCAAGAACCTTCCTTTGGAGGAAAACAAATTGGATTTGATCAAACCTTGAGTGTGGGAAAATTGGGCATAACCTTAAATGGCAAACAATGAGTATGAAAAATTAGTTTCCAGAATTACAAACAACGTAATGCACCCTCTCACTCCCACTGCCTTAATTTGGAAAACTCTGTTTTGATTTGAGAAAACTGTGAGGAGTGGTTAATTAGCAACAAACAAATCATAAACATGAAGGTTTATGAGAGTAATAATGTTAGGAGGTAGAGGCAAGAGGGTTGAATATAGGGCATACGGGTTAACATAAAAAGTTTTTAGCGCACTAAAGGATGTAATTAAAGCCATTGGTTGGGCCACAGCCAGAGGTGAGGTGAGTAGCGAGTGCCCCTAATCTCAAAATCTCAACAAACCCACTCTCCCAACTTTCCAAAACAGGAAACCCTTCACTTCACTTCACTTAACTTGGGATACTCATATTGTTACTATTATTATTATTATGTAGGGATTGTGTTCAATGGGAATACGGCCTTCCCTGCTCTGCCTCCCTCTAAAACCAATAATGCACTTTAAATTTAATTAATACTTGAAGAAGGAAATAATGTTGGTACTATTCATGTAGTTATGCGCACATGCACACATATCCATCAAGTCTGAAAGATGGATTGAAAAAGACAATTTTGAAAGTTATGAGGCAGTTAAAAGTGTTTATTAGGCCGTAATATTTACAGAGGGAGGGGGTTAGAAAAGAAAGTTATAAATGATCAATTCAGAAGTTGAAAAGGACTTATGATATGAGGCATTAAAGAAAATAACATGAGACATTAGAATGGGAAAGAAAGAGTTCTTCTTCTTCTTTTCTCTTTGTGGTCCAATCCAAACCCTAATTGATATGAATAAGATGACACCCATTCACTTTTATCACATCATCATTTCATAATTCTCTTCACAAAATCTATTGTTTTTATTGTTTTATTGCACAAACTTAAGGATTCACTCTATCCCCTCTTATAAATTTTATAACCCTAAACCATTTGCAGAGGTGAGAGAGAGAGAGAGAGAGAGAGAGAGAGAGAGAGGGAGGAAAAAGAGCAGAGTGAATTATAGGGCAGAGGATGGGGAAGCGGAAGGCGCATGAAATGCCATAAATGGAAATCTGTGGAAGCCTTCCGTCTCACAAAAAGGAAACCATTTGTGTGTGAACCATGAAAGCGATGTAACGCACTCAACGCCAATGCCAATGCCAATGCCATCCCTTTTCTACACTCTAATTAATGCAATTTCACAAACCCTTTTCTATTACCCCACCTAATCGAATCGGATCAGATCCACTCAAATATAATATATAGATTCCAAGTTTTCCCCGATGGGGATTGTGTTTGTGTTTCAGATATATATATATATACATAGATGCAGGCATTTGCTACGTTACCCGGTGCTCTACCGCTGTGTGGGACAATAATTTAAGGGCGCGGCGCTAAAACCTTCCTCTAATCACTCATACTCCCAGGGTTTTTGCAGAGGAAGTGGCGTGTGGTGTGCATACCCGTTGAATGAAAGACGCGTGGAATCTGCTACCCTTCTAATTTAATCATCTCAAATCCATTGGTTGACTAAATTAGAATGGCAGCATGGATTAAAATAATGAGTGATGACGGTCCGAGTGACGAAATTTGCAACCAATATTATATTGATTGGAATTGTTTATGTTTTAATTAAAAAAAGAATTAAACTTGACCAATGTTTGTTAGGTGGTGGTGATTAAATATGAGTATATTGCCTTTCTGGAGATCATAAACCCAGTCATTTCAACACCAAAACTACTAATACAAGGGAAGAGGATGGTGAAAAGGGAGTGAGTATTTATGAAAATTTTGAGCTGTAAAGGCAGGAGGAAGGAAAACAGAGTGAATGAAAATTGAAAAGAAAGGGGATTGGAGGAAATAGGAAGAGGGGGGGTTTGGGGTTTGGGGTTTAGGGATGAAAGGAACCCGTGGTGGTCATTAATAGCAGTGTCTGACTGCTTTTGGCTGAGGGAGAATTGATTCAAAGGACACTATGATGCCGACTATTCATATCCCCCATTCACTCACATTTTCTTCTTTGCTTTTTCCTTTTTTTTTCCTGTCTCCCCCTCTCCGCCCCGCCCCGCCCCGGACGGAATCTCTCCCAATAACAAGAAAATGACAATCGTCGGAAAATGATCATTCAATTTGATGAGGCTACAACAAGAAGGCCCCCTTCCTTGCAGCTTCTTTCAAACAAGTATGTACAAATTACTAAAAATGAGCGTTGGAACATAGGGTAAATATATAGTAGTACATAGCCGAAACAAAGCAAATGTCTAAGGAATTGGGAATTGGTAATGGCACAATGAATTCTCGGTCAGAAAAGTTGTAGCTTTTTTCTCCCACCCATTACCACCACCTTCAACTTTTACTACTACACTTTTTTTCTTTCTAGATTCTCGTCGGGAAGCGGACAGGACAGAATAAATTAAAATTAAAACATGACTGACTCTTTTTTCTGGGGGCGGGGGAGAGAAATTTCGTACAACTTATTAGGAGGGTCTAATGAGACAATGAAACCCATTCTTGTGCAGCCAATTCTTGGAAGGTCTAATCTGGGGAGAGAATCCTGATGATGCTGCAGCAGTTGCATGAACTTGCGATGGCCCCGATTCAACAACTTGATTCTGATGATCACTTAGAGATAGTGATAGATCACTTCCTATTATTCGGCCTCCATTACTGCTGCCCGGAAACTGAATCTTCAACAACAATAACAACAAATCAAAATTTAAAAAACCAACACTTTTTTCTTCTCTAAATTATTAATTACACGTACTTGATAATTGAAGGTTGGATGATTTTGATTGTGAAGCAATATCTGGGAGTGGGGCTGATCTACACCACCCGCCTGCCGCCTGAATTGCCCATGTCTTTGCATTTCAAAGGAAATTGGAGATTGAATGTGTGTTTGGCTTAACAGCTGCATAGTTTCACACTCCAGGTACCTATTAGTGTTTCCTCTCTGTGCATTATTGTAATTTTTGTTTCCACTACCTCCTCCGCTGCTTGATTCTTGCAGCAAATTTAGCTGCGCATGATACACATGCCACAAATTCGTGAACACCCATATTTCCCACGAGAAAAAAAAAAACATTTTTTTAAGGAAATTTGAAAGAACCTGCGGAGGCCTAAATCCTTGACTACGTTGCCAATCAGCTTCCATCGGTAGAGGAGCTGAAGAAGAATGGTGCGGATCTAAGGAACCATTTGGGCTGTCATGTTGCTTTGAGCTTGAATTTCCCAGACTCAAATCAAGACTGTGGTCTGCTAAGTTGCTAGTTGAGTCTGTTATAATGTGAATTCAAAAACCAAAACAGAAAAAATCATTCATTTCCAACAAGTTAAAACAATGGTCTGCGTGTGTGTGTTTTTTTCTTGTGTGTTACCAGTTGTCGGATTCAGCTCACTCTCGTAAATGCTGGGATCGAAATTGGTGACAGCTTCTTTGCCATTACACTTGATTGCAGCTTTATCATAAGCCCTATCGTTATCATCATCAGATTAAATTTTTTTATTTGTAAAATGAATAAACGGCATCAAACGCAACCTCTTTCCTGGTTTCTTTTGTCGAGAGAGATGGAAGGGAAAATAAAAACAAACCTTGCGGCTTCGATCTCGGTATCAAACAAACCCAGATAAACATACCTGTAAAATTGGGGGAAAATAAAAATTGGGTATGGATATAAAGAAGAGATAGAACAAGAAGGGAAATGGAGGAAGGGGGAGGGGAATACTTTTTGCCAAGAAATTGGCCCATTCGAGCCTCCCATCTTCCACACTTGTGAAGCGTTACACCTCTATACTTGGAGCTTCCTCTGGGAAACCCAGTGCTTTGTCGGCGAAGAACATGCACAAATTCCTCCTTTGTTAGATTACCCATCTGTTCATCAATCATCAATCACATAACATTTCAGTTTAATCTTAATATATGCATGTATGTATATGTTATAATTAAGATGGAAAGCCAAAATTAAGGACCTGTTTTAAGTCGTCCTCGTAATCTTCGATGCTGAAGTTTATGTCCGCTTCCACTCCTCGGAATTTAATGGCCGCTCTATCGTAAGCACTGCACAGCAGCAACAACAACAACAAAATCAGTTCTGGTAGAGAGAGAGAGAGAGAGAAGCGCGGAGACAGTGAGTGCTCACCGAGCAGCTGCATGTGCCGTATCGAATCCACCTGTAACCAATTCATTTGATGGGGAGGAGAAAAATCACATCTTTGTTAGAAGGCCAGAAATGAATGATATACCCACCCCCCACCCCCAAAAAATAAAATTAAAAGTAACCAATAACAAACCAAACATACCGAGATAAACCTGCTTTCCACAATCCCTGATGAGTGCAACAACCAAAAAAGAAAAAATCAAAATCAAATCAATTCAGTTCAATTGTTTGCACAATTCCAAAAGCAGAAGTTGGTTTTTGGGGGACAGAAATTGCAGTAGAGAGAAGGAGAGAGAGAGGGGAGAGAGAGAGAGAGAGAGAGAGTATAATTTAATTTAATTTAAAAAAAAAAAAGAGAGAGAGTGAAGGGAGGGGGGAACGGACCAAATATGAGACTCCCAGCGGCCGGTTCTCCGGTAGAAAGTGACCCCGCGATACTGGGAGCTACGAGACCTTGGGCCCCGGCGGCTCTTCTTAATGGGGTGGGAGAGGTCATTGGGGTTGATGGAGTTATTATTAGGATCGGGATGGCCAAATTTGACCCCAACCCAGTGAGCCCGAGGGAAGGCGGAATCAGTAGTTGGAAGTGGAAGGGGAGGTGGGATTTCAGTGTCTTCAAGTGGGAAAAACTGGCGAGTTACAGGGCTTGGGGTTTGTGTGTCAATTTGCATGACCATGGAGCCCAATACCTCATCGGATCCTTCCTCCTCCTCTTCTTCCTCCTCCAACTCCTCCTCTTCCTCCGCAGCCGAACAACTGGAATTGGAAGCCGATCCCACCCTTTTCCGTTTGTCATCATCCCCGTCTCCCTCGATGGAGGTCTTGGCAGAGGAACAGGCTTCGGATTCATCCCCCTCCCTCACATCAGGGCAGTCGTTCAGATCCCACATTTTTTTTTGTTGTTGTTGGTTTTGTGCTTGGTCTATCGTGTTCGAGGCCTCATCCCATATCCTGAATACCCTGAATACCCTGAATACCCTCACAACTTACACACACACACACTCTCTGTTTTGTTTGGGAAATGAAATTTATAAAGAGAAGGAAGGAAGGAAGGAAGGAAGGAGGGTGGGGGAATTGAGATGTGGTGGGAGGAAGTGTGTTAGTGATAAGCTAAGGGGAAATGTTTTGTTTTGTTTTGATTAGATTTATTTTGTTATTGAGGGGGTGAGAGGAAAACATGAGAAAGGATACAATTTGAGGAAAAGAAGAAAAGAGAAAGGAACCATCTCTTTCTTACACACAACTTTCCCACGTTAGCCAAATCGAAAACCTTTTTTCCTCTCTTCTCTCTCTCTCTCTCTCTCTCTCCTACTACTCCATCTGTGTTACCCAATAATGGGAATAGACACGTAGAAAGATGCCTAATTACTCAATTCCCCAAAATATCCACTTAATCATTCACCTCAAACTCACTTATATGTTTTTAAATGAATTAAATTATAGTTTCAATGTCCAACCAAACAACTGGGTTCCTATACTGTTCACAGCTTTGCTGATCACCTCTAACATAAACCCTTTGTCTAAAAAGCACATTGCCCATTTTAATTGCATTTTAAGCTACGCCCATTTTATTCTCTTAATTACCAAATACATTACATTATAGCACGGTTGATTCCGAATCTCAACCTTGTAGCAAAACATGCCACATTTTAACATTAAACTACTTTTTTCCAATCAAACTATAATTACAAAACTAAATTATGAATTACACCCATGTTTTCAAATATCTTAGGTTTACATTGATTTGACGTTTTTATTATATCCTTCTTTTCTTTTCTTTTTTTAAGAAAGCCCAAAATTGGTTCTTTTGAAAGTGGCCCACAAACCAAACCAAATGAATAAAATATATTAAATAGATTTGGATGAAAGTATTAAAATAAAAAGTAATCCATAATTGAGTGCACACTAGATAAAGTAACCCACCCATTGTAACAAAAATAAACACAAAATTGTTTCTTTATATTGTTTCGCTAAAAATAGATAACATAATTTGTTAGGGAATAATTTTTTATATATTTTTTCTTTTTTGAAAAAAAAAAAAAAAAAAAAAAAAAAAAAAA